AGAATACAAGAAAAAGATGAAGAGAGACAAAAAAGAATGTATGTGGGCCGGCGAATGGGTATGCGTAACCAAGCGAATGGGTGAGACGCCTCTACCAAGGCCGCGTTAGCATTGTTTGACCGAGAAAAGATTGAGATGAAGTGATGGGTTGGGGATGAATGCAAATGGATGGATGGAGGAGCGGAAGCGAGAGAGAAACGGGGTCGCACGACAGAGGCCCTGAGAGGAGCCAGGGACTGGGGCTGTTCCTACTCTGCTGTGCCTTTTCTTCCTTCCCTTCCTTTCCAGATGCCTGTCCAATTCTGGGCCGAGCGTTTGAGTGGGAGGAGGACGCGAGTATCAAAGGGGAGTAGCGCAACTGAAAGAACAGCGGCCACTCCTTGAACAGGCCTAGGTCCGTCATGATCTGGGGGTTTAATTCGTCAGCTCTTTATTGAACTCCGCGTAAACCTACGGCGCGAACCCGTGAAGTTCAGGGGTGCCACTTTCGCAGCGACGCCATCGCCGCTCTGTTCTCTTGGTAATCCGCCTGATTTACAGCGCCTACGGACAGGGCTGCGAATTATCGCGCCGTCCCTACCTCCCCAAAGCAGCCAGCCGCCAGGTTCCGTTGTGGTGGTCAGCTCTCAGCTTGTTTCTGGCACCTGGAGTGCTCCTTCAGCCGCCCTCGTGGCTGGCTTAGCCCACCGCTTCTTTCGGCACTGCCCGGCTGGTTGCTGGGGAAAAGCAACCACAGGAGCGTCTTGGTTTACACACACCAACCTATGAGAGTTATCCCTCAATACCCGTTGCCTGGTTTACTTGTCAAGATCAACAACCACCACAATTGCGTTTCTGATCTTGGCTCCCCCCTCACCATGTGCTCCCGACGACCAGACGTCTGGGATTTGTGTGGCTTTCTGTAGCTTTCCATGTTGACGCGGCAGGTTGCAGCTAGACATGTACAGTATCCGGCCGTTGAGCGGACGCAACCACGCAACGCAACGCAACGCACAAGCAAGATTCAGCAACGGCCATTGACAGCGGCGGCTGCATAAACCGAAACCTTCTTGCAGATGCCTGTCATGAGGTATCAAGCACGTCACAACACGACCTGCAGGGTTTTTCAATTTCCATCAGTGAATTGCAAATGTATTTACTTTATTTTTAGCCAGACTAGAGTGCAAAATAGACTCTGCGAACGACAAGATGGGATTGCTGACGCATGTCAAGTCAAAAATATCACTGGTCACTCATCCTCCATCCATGTGCCAGCTCACATTTCAGGGTCCGGTTCGATCGACCTCGCACCGGCCAGCGGGGTAAACTGACATGGCTCTCCTTGACTTCTCGTGTCTCCGCGCGAGCCGCTTTGTTGATGATTTGTGTTTTGCAGGAAGACCCAAGGCCCCCACGTTGTGCTCACCACGCCTGGTGTCTCTCCAACATTGAAGAGGCGCACGGGCCATAGGTAACCATGACGGACAGCGCACGTGACCTTCCGTCGGCGCTACAGCAAGGCCGCTCGCTTGGGGTGCGCGAGCTCGTCATCGTCAGCCTCCAGTTCTGAACATCGCCAACGAAACATCATCGGCCGAACACGACCTACATCCCGAATCCACCTGTGAAGCTTCGGGGCCCCTACGAGATTCTTTACCGATCAACCCGAACCCCCGCGATCAATCCCTAGCCGTCAATATGGAGGAGGAGCGTCTCTGGAAGTTTAGAAAGCCTGAGTGGCTCAACAGCGTCTGGGCCCGCAACGCTGGTGTCTACGCTGCCGGAGCTATCGTACGTTGGTCCCAGGAAGCATGACGGGGTTGCTATCGCGATGTTTTCTTTGCGCTCGAGCTCAATACCGCGATACCCGCCCACGCCGCTTCGCTCTTCGACAAGTTCCAGATCGCAAAGGCTAACCACGTCCCACCAGTTCTCCGTCGCATTCTACGTCATGCTCGACTCGGCCGTCTGGTCCAAGTCGCCCAGGAATGGCTCTGACGTCCATGTCAAGTTTGTTGACTGGCTGCCCTTTATCTTTTCCAGCTTGGGCATGCTCATCATCAACTCGGTCGAGAAGCAGCGCCTCAGCGCCGACTCTTTCAGCTATAGCGGATCTGGAGTCGCATGGAAGGCCCGTGTTGTTCTTTTCCTGGGCTTTGCGGCTCTTGCTGGTGGAATGGCTGGCGGTGTTACTGTCTTTGTTCTCAAGTTTGTTGTACCCAGCGTTGCGATGCCTGCTCTGGGCATGGGCATCGAGAACGTCGTGAGCAACGCTCTGGTTGGCGTCAGGTAAGTTTAACTCTGCCCAAAGCTTCCGCCCTGCTAACACAATACAGCTCCGTTGTTCTTTGGGTGAGCCAGAACATGGAGGACGAGTACTCGTACAACCTTTCTCTGTAAACACAGCCAGACAAGATTAGATCGAAAGAACGAGGGCCGTGTGGGTGTCGAGGCGCATTGATGGGTTGAGCTACATTCCTAGGGATAGCTCTCGGTGTACGAATAAGAGCAGTTTCTCAAAGTATGAATGTGGAAGAATGAGCTGCAACGACGAGTATCAACAGATGGGTGATGGCGGTCATGATCTGAGCACGAAGATTTGGACCAGGAGATTATAGTTATTGGGAATTCATCGACTATTGTCGATTTAAAGATTTAGGAGCTCGGTTTACAAGCGTTGTCAGGATTAGCATGAGTTTAAAGTTCGTTATGCACAAACTGACAGCCTGTCATGTCTGACGCTGGGAGAATGGAGTTGAATGGACTACAGGAGCAGTCTATAGTATCCAAAGCCAAAATCTAAAGACATTGGAATCGGATGCTAGACTAGCACAAGATCCATTATTAGAATGCACTTGCTTCGACTCAAAGACTCGGCGGTTACTCAACCTCACTAGAGCAGAGCATACCCCGGCGCATCCCCACACAAAGTCAACACACATACATAGAACCCGCATCTGACTACGCATCACCTCTTGGACAACATAACAAAACACAAAAAAAAGTCCTACATTCTGCATAATAATTCACTCACTCACACACACGTCATGTCTGACCGCTCACGCGCAGCAACAACAAACGGCAACGGCGTTTCGCGTACGCGGAATGGCACAACTTCCGCTGCATCAGTCCGTCGCAATCTGTTCCAGAGCCAGTTGACCCGGCGACCTACCGGAGGAGGCTCCTCGTCCACGTCGGCTGAGACGCTGCACCTCGACGTCGACGTCCTATCAGACACCTCTGAGATTGTCGTTCGTGACAAGCACGGTGAGATTGAGCTTGGAGACCCGCCGACACCGATGCTTGAGGACGAGGATGATGTGCCGCTGGATCACCGGCAGGAGACTGAGAGTATGCTATTTACTTGCGACACATTTAATGATTGAAGCTAACATTGATGATAGAGGAGAGGCAGCGACTGGCTGAAGCCGTCAAACATCATCAGATTAATCGAAACACAGTTCCAGAGCAACCAGAAGGTATACCATCTCACTCCAGATCATCACACCATGTGGCTCACCTCACGTGCAGAACTCCTCGAAGCTGTCAAGACGAGCCTGAGAGCAAAAGTGGCGGCCCTCGCAGAAGACAATTGGATGTTTGAACCCGAAGAACAGCCACGCGGATAACCAAGTCTTTTTTTTTCCTTTCACCGACCTCACAACGCCTGCTGTCTATGGATGTTTCTCTCAAGACTCTATGGTACACAAACCGTCCACGAAAACCAACCCTTATTTTAGTCCAGGCCCTCAGCAGCGGGAGCATCTGGCCGTTGCGTGACCTGTCTCCGCTTCGGCTGCTCCTGACCGCCGGCTCCTCCAAAGAAGCCGCTCATCATATCCATTAGAGGGTTGCTCTGTCGAGGCTTAGCCAGACCAAAGTACATCTCCCCAACCATCTCGAGCGCCTCACCCCACGTCCCGGCCTCGTTGATCTGCGTCGCGTACTTGGACACGAGCGCCCGGAAGAGCTCAGGCGCACCCCGCTGGACGGCAAGGAGGAGGAAGCCCAGGAAGTTGAGGAGGGGGATGCTGGGGAAGATACGGATATCACCGGCGGCGCTCGACACGTCCTGGACGCCGATATTTGGGTTGTCGCTGGAGAGTGCACTGGTAAAGAGACGGTAGCAAGTGTTGGCAGCGCGAACGTTGCCAATAAGGAGGTAGGGCAGAACGGCGCGGCCAGCGAAAAGAGCTGCCGTGTGAGGCTCGCCCTCCTTGTACCACGTATACTCCATCTTTGTCAGGACTTCGGGCGAATCCTTGGTACCCAATATCAAATGTTTCTCCGCCTCGTATGTCTCATGTTCTTCGGCGTAAAGCGATCCGGCAACGTGGTGAAGTTCTGGGTCTCCGGCAGGATACTCGCCGAACTTGGCTGACCACCTATTTGTCCGTCAGGCATAGTTGTCCTTGTCTAGAACACAGTAGCACTTACGCAATAATCTCGCCAACAAACTTCTTCCTTGTAGGCTCCTCAGCATCGAACAGCCGCAGGGAAGTAAGCAGCCTCCCCTTGGAGGTAGCATCGGGCTTCAGCTCTGCTTGCTTGTAGACGTCGACCAGCATAATGCACAGATCACCTCCACTTCCACCCTGGCCAGCGCGAAGCAACGCCTGAGCCACATTCGAGAGGATATCGATGGCGGCGGGCCAGTTGGACGTCTTGATGTAGCGGGAGGCGGCGACACGGGTCTGCTGCTGGGCCTCGTAGTAGTCGCCCTCTTCGATCTTGGCCTGTAGCCGGGCTACTATGCGGTCGACCTTGCTAGCCATGGTGGGAGTTTCTCGGAGTGTGACGCGGAGAGGGAGGCGGGAGAGGTGGTGATGATACTGGCGGGTGACGTCTAAGGTAAGGCAGGGTGAAGCTTGGGAGGTGTTCAGCGGAAATGGTGGAGGGGTTGGCCAACTTGGATACCCCACATGGTTCAGTGCTATGCTGCCCCACTTTTTGACTCACCATATATAAGTTGTGTCTGAGAGCATCGCCTCCAAAATTGGCATGGCTGCGTCGCCAACGACGCGTCGATGGTGTAGTGGTAACATTCTGGCTTCCCATGCCTGAGCCTCGGGTTCGATTCCCGATCGTCGTACTGCTTTTTTGCAGTTATTTTTGATGAATTCTTTTTGCTCGGATGAGTTCAAACTGATCCCAGAGGCTTCTTGATCGCTCCCTTGACTTGTGGTGTTGGATTCGCACTATTGCAGTGGGGTGGCCCGCCGCCCCACCAGTAGCGCAGCCGAGCATCGAGAGGTCACGTGATACGACAGGTCCAACTACGATTCCTGAAATGGACTTACATTTGCACCTTGACCAATCAGCCCGCCCACTGTCACTTACACCATGAGAGTAGTCGGGGCACTCAGCTGAGTGGATAATACAGAGTATTAAGAGCTGAATATCTATTTGACTGTTTAATGAAATGTTATCGTTATGCTATCGAATGGAGGAAGCGCGAGTATGTTGTTTTGCTTCCAAAGAGGTACATTAAACATACAAGCTATGAGATTCCAACCTCCACACTAGCACTATTCGATAGTGGTTCACTCTTACTACAAACTAATTTCCCTTTTGTCAGTACCGGAAGTTAACTTAGTTTGTGAAAGTGAATCGCCAATCTTGACGTGTTGCCCATTCTCCAAGCTTTTGCGGCTGTGAATCGTCGACTATGGTGTTTAACGCTGCCAGATTTCTCAGCTAGGTTGGGTAGTTTGTGAATATGAAGTCGTCAACCAAAATTGCAACCCTCTCAGGTCCCCTCTTCTCTTCCCTCTTCCCCCACATCGCCACCTATTTCTTTCTTAAGGACACAGCCTTCTTTCTCCCCGGTCCCTCCACTTGCCAGCACTGAGAGGCGCATCACACTCTCGCTGCGATAGCTTTATCCACCCCCGCCCCGCTGGTTCTGACTCGCGAACATTCCGAGGCTGGGCCTGTGTTATCACAGAAAGCTGGGACCCTCACGTCTCCAACGTCCAGATTCCCGAAGGAGTCAGACCTCCTCTGCGGTCGAGAAGGGTGATCATGTTTGGGTATTCCGAACTTTTTAAGGATAAGGCGAGGTTGTCGAGTAGTCTTTAAAGTATAGGCGAAGGTGGTCATGTAGGGCCATCCAAATGGGAGAATATGCGGAAGAGCAAGCTGTCTTCCTTCACTTGTACGTTAGCGTTGGGATGTAAAACGTGTAGCATAGAAAATGTCCTACCATACCTAGTACCGACTCAGGTGGGCTTTATCCCTTTCTCCCAACATAAGGAGGATCAAAGTCGAGGCGAAGGCCAAAAAAAACTAAAGAAAAAGTGTCCAACGCAAAAATTGGGAGGGCCCAAAAGCCAGACGGCACAACCTCTAAGCGGAGGAAGAGAAGCAGGAGAGGAGCCGGCGAAGGAGCCGGCGGCGGCGGCGGGCGACGGGGGGCGAGGAGCCCGGGGACGAGACGGCAGGGGCCGCATCGGAGGTAGGCGGCGGCGGCGCCGTGGAAGAGGAGGAGAGGGCGGCGGCGGCGGCGATGGTGGTGGCCAGAGAGGGCCAGGGGCCAGGAGTAATGAACTCCCCCTTAACGGGGGAGTCCTTCTCCGCCCAAACAAGCTCCTTCTCTTTGGCGACCCCTCCTGGAAGGCCTAGCTCCTTAGGAGCTAGGTACTCTTCCAGGAGGGCCAACAGTCGGTCGAGTCTTGGGGGGCGGGGAGGCATCTTCTTGACTATTGATGGTGTTGAGGAACAGAACGACGCGCAACATTGCAAAGAAGTCAGAGTTTGTTGGGAATGATGGGAGGAACCCATTGTTCAGGTATTGCACGGAAGGAGCGAACTATCGGGGAAGGAGTGAACTGTTGAGGAAGGAGCAGGTTGTCAAGGAAGGAGCGAGGGCAGGAACGACACACAACTGGGAAGAACCAGACACATCTCACATGAGAAGCAAAGGGCACAGGAACATGGTGCGAATTGTGCAAATACTTGATTACAAGAGGAGAGACAATGAGCATTCTCTTTAGACACATTACTGAGTTACCAAGTACTACCACGTCGTCTTGGTGTAGTCTGAACCATTTACCACCGAATTAAGTGAAACTGTGGTCGACATATTTCCATATTAACACGAAATTTCAAGATGACTTATTTGGTCGTTGAATGTATCTGCCACAGGTGTTGATTACAAGAACGGGAATACTTGAACCAAAAGCATGGATTCTATGAGAACGAACAAGCTAGCTAGGCTCTTATAACATCTTAGCCATAATCATTAGATATATACACTCTTGGTTCGAAACTGGGGTCATTTACAACGTCCTCCATAGCTATCAATCCCTCTTCGTAGGGCCTGGAATCATTCACGCTTGCAAAAAAAGCTCCTCAAACGACTTTACAAACCAATCTTCTAACAAGGAACTAATAGCTTATCCTTTCCACACGAATTCCTGCTTCACTCGAGGCATAAGAGGTCGAAGGGCCATACCGTAGTCACCTCCATTTGGCGTCCTCAGTAAAGTGTGGATGTGAAACTTGGCCGGCTCTTCGTTGGTTAGGAAAACCCCCGAGTGGTGGTCAAATTCTATAATGACCACGGGGCTCTGGATCCGATAGTAGAATGGGTCATGCTCAGCCCAGCCTCCAATCCAGCAAAAGTAGGTTTCGTGGAACCAGGACTTGATCTGGTCGAGCCGGTTCTGACGCGCTTTCTGTGGGAGGTAGAGGAGATACTCGTTGCTGATGGCCAGGATAATATCTTGCTGAGCCGGTGTCATTTCGCTGACGAGAATTCCCTCGTAGGGCACGATGCGGTTGTCCCGGTAGGCTCCGCAGAGATGTCTCTGATCGTCATGATTCCAACGTCCCTCAGGCATCTTGGGGTCTTTCATGAGTGTAAAGACCTGTGTTTTCCCCTTCTTCTCAGGCGAAAGACTAGTCATCAATTCCAGTCCCAAACGCTCTTCGGTCTGCAGGATACGTGTTCCCTTGTATGGACCTTCGTCGATGAGATTTGGCTCAGCTCCAGTGAACCAAGGCGAGATGACAATCTGGGTTTTGTACAGCAGAATATTGAGACAGAGATGATGGCCGTAGAATGAAAAAGCCCCAGGGTTTCTCGGCGTCAGGTTCACCAAAGAGGACAAAGTTGTAAGACCACTCGTTCATGATGACCGGGGTCTTGACAAGTTCACCAAGGAAGCCGTTGATGCGCATGGCTCCCAATGCCTTCTGGTATCCTTCAGGGGAAAGTGTCAGTTCCAGAATTCGCATGACCGCAGTCCGTTGCTCGGAGGAGACTTCATCGAGTCGAATGCCCTTGTCACTGAGGAGAAACTCGGGATTGGACCAAGTGCGCCATTCGGGCGAGTCAATGTGATAGCAGGTCTTGTGATACTGCTCATCGCCCAGAAGTTGAACAAGCTCATTCGTGGCATCGACGATGTCCTTGATTTGGATACCATCGTCTTGTAGGTCGAAGAGATCGCGTCGAACATTGCCTAGGTAGATGGTGTTAGTTGACACGAGACCTTGGTAAAGCTGTCACTTGCCGTCATTGGTGACCCCCTTGAATGGCTCCTTGAATAACTCCAACCAGTGGCAATAAAGAGCATGAAGCCATGGTGGTTGCTTGTTTTCTTTGAACACTTCGGCGTATTCGTACACATCTTGCTTCTGCATGGTTGTAAAGCGAGGGATGGTGAGATCCGGCAGATGGTCACGGAAGCTGCGGGCATCTTTGGGCGAGGACGATTGGGATGCCATGACTGCTGTTAAACTCGTGATGATGGTATATGGCAATGGTGTCGCTTCAGTTGAAGTGTAGATGAAAGAGAGAAGTGAGCTGATGAGTAGTCAACGTCAACCTCGGGATATAGATAGCCGGATCACTTGCATGGACTTCTCGCCGGGCGCAATAACTACCTAGGATACACGGAAGACATACGGATGCCAATTGGTCAACATGAGGAGTATCCCGGACCCCAATGAATCACGGAAATACACGCAGCTAATCTAATTAGTATAATTCCGAAGCCAATCTGATTATACAGTTTGAATCCTAGTGGCCGAGGCTTGATGCCGGTCACCCCCGAAACGTCCCCCGCATTTTCGGCCCCGCATTCCGATGGTCGGTGTAGGTGGTGCCGAAGCCGGCATTACTACAGGGCGCTTATCACGTAGTCAAAAAGGCTGCACGGGGCCAGGGGGGGGGGGGGCCTCGGAGCAACTTAATAGGGATAATATAGCTATAATATAACTAAAGCTTATACCTAAGCCTTAATAATATAATAATAAGTCGATAAGGCTTATAACTACTATAAATAATGCCTTAATAGCTAGAAAAGAGGGGAAATAAAGTTATAATAGCCTTAATAAAGCTTCTTCTAAGTTAAGCGCGAGGGATAAAAGGTATAATCTTTACCCTTATATAATTACTAAGATTAATAATATAAGATAAAATAACTCTATCTTTAGCTAATTAAGTAAAATAATTAATATATTATTATTTAATATTAAATTTTTATTTTTTAATAAAATACTTAATAATATTTAAATTAATATATTTAAATAATAAGGTTATAAAGACCTTTTTACCCTTATTAAAACCTATAAAGATCTAAAAATACTTAATAATTATTAAAAAGCCGCAATATTATCCTTTAATTATTATATTTTTATTACTTCTATATAAAGGCGCCTTAAGTTATAAAGACTAAGTATTTATTAAAAAAAAATAAAAACTTCTTAATAATCTTACTTAGAAGCTTATATAATATAATAATCTTATAAAGAGAGAAAAAGTAATTTCTATTAAACCTAATAAATAAAAAGAAGAGGGCATATAGAGGAGTAGCTAAAGGAGGGATTATATTAGCTAGGCGAGGTTAGAAGCTTATAAAGAAACAAGGGGCTATTAGGGTAGAGATACAGGGGAAAAAACGTTATTAGCACGATATAACGCCATAGATAATGGTTGCAATAACATAACATAATAATACAACGGGGGAGGGCGCTTATCACAAGTGACCCATGTAATATCTAGATTCCGTCATTTAAGAGCTTGTAGTCCCCGTATTTCGGACTATGTCTTTCTCTGAAACCTTTGGAGTTAGTATCATAGAC